TTTTTTTTTTTTTTTCTCCCTTTTTTAAAGCAGCATTTGTGTTTCCTACGTAGTCATCCAGAACTTTTCTTTTTGATAATACATGAAGCTAATATCCTTTAATGCAGGAGGTGGTGTTTAACCAAGCGTAAACCTAGGAATTACACAGTATAAGAGAGCAATCCTACCTACAAGAGAATAGTAAAGTAATAGCATATGTAACAGGAATAGTTAGGACACAAGATGCTTCATAGTGAAACTGTTTCTGATATAACAAATCAGAATTGGAAAACAATTTACCAATATTACAATTGTGAGAGACTTTCATATCATATAGTGCTGTTCCATCTTTTTCACTGAAGTTGGGTATGGCAGTCTTAATTAAAGAGAAAGCAGTAAAGTGCATGGCTTCTTTTATTATTAGATTTCTTACACCTTACAGCAATATTGAAAATTGACGCATTAAACAATTAAGAGCATCATACAGCTGCTCATTGAACTAGTGATGATGTTGTTTAGCACCTCTCTTGGTAGGATGGTTAGTTACTGTCCCTGTATTTCCATGATATTTGTATTAGGTTAGGAGTTTTCAAATACAGCTCAAACAAAAAAAGGTTGGGAAAACCAAAGATACAGAAGCTTATTTAAATATATCAAGTTCTTTATCGAAGGCAGTCACTTTACCCACTACTGAAATGTACTATCCTTTGTCAGACACTGCCACCCTTTAGCACCACACAGCTCTCTGTGTAACAACTAAAGTCAAAGACCACAAAAAAAACCTTCAGAAAAAAGTCTTTTAAGTTAACAGATATATATTCAACACTGGAGTTTAGACAAGATAAGCCATGATAACTGGATTAGCGCTCACCAAGTGTGGTGTCTCAAGTGTTCCACTGATGCAGGCTTTATGTATGGAGCATGGGGACAACCAAGGACTGGACGGGCTGGAGGACGCCATTATGTTGAATGCATAGCGATGGTTTCCAACAGGGTGCAAACAATGAGGTGACCTGTGTGACTGCTTATGAACTAGACTGGAAATATTTTCTGAGGGGTATGGACGCACCTACAATTCTTTTGTTCATACTCAGGCATGACTCGCCCTCATGAGACAGCACACCATCCTGAGCTTCCCAGTCTGGAATTACGTAGCATACTGTTACCAGGTGTAACTTGCCAGGGATGAGGAGTAGCTTCCAGAGCTCTGCCTGCACCCGGGAGCTGCATTTGCTGGGTTGCTCTGCGATTCAGCTGCAGTCCCACCCCGGCGAGTGGGAATCCTCAAGGCTGTTGTCATATCCTGCCACTGTAACACTGGTTAGGAATCGCTTGCCACAGACTTCCACGATCCATGGCTTGACTCTCGTGACAGGAAATTTTAGAAAGAAGTCCAATGGATCAGAGAAGGGGAACATTGCATGCCAGCTTTTCAAAGGGCAGGCGCTTGTAGTACAAGGGCACACAGAAAACAGCAGGTCCTTCCCATTGCATCTTGAAAGGAATTTGGAAGGTAAATTACCAGCTGGAGGGGCAGAGCTGGTGACACAGAGGAAAATCACACATGGAATTTCAGGCAGACCAGCTCAGGCAAAAGAAGACTGGAAAGTTCATTATTGAAGTGAAGTTTATACACTTGAGATGATAATAGGTCTGACTATTGCTTGGTTTAAGTTCCCAAAAATAAAAGCGATAACTTTAAAAGTTTTTTTTTAAGGAGAATTAGTTTAAACCTTAAAAACTGGAGCAATCCACATTACCAGCCTTCCTTAGTCTAGATGTAGTCTATGTACTGAAGCAGGCACGCAGAGAAAAAAAGCTTACTGCATCAATGGTTACAGCTGAAGAGAAATGGACACTTTGAGGCACCCAGTGCTCAAAGTGTATCCCTTTCTTTTATCTAACGAAATCCACTTTTATCCTCCTATGAAACCTAGTTTTTATAGCTGGAGACTAAGATGATAACAATACTATTAGTAATACACACTGGGAAATTGCATGGCATCCCCCTAATTATCATTTATTATATCTAGGGTCAAATTTTATTGTAGTTACACAGTGAGCTACAGAAAAGCTCAACCCCTCCTACTGGAAAGTATGTATTTTTTAAGTTACACACATAACTTACGGGACCAAGAATGTGTCTGTATACTTTTTATTTTATTTTGGGGGATTTCTTTTTGCAGCTAAAATAGCTGCAATTCTTCAAGGGCAGGTCTTACCTCAGGGCTCTATTTGTTAGAATATATTACCCAAGGTCTGACGCAGCTGACCTTACAGTAAGTTTGCTTTCTGTGCAAGTAATGCCTTCTGTTATTTCAAACTGTTCCTCCAGTCTTGCATACTTGTAAGGTTTCTACAACTTTATTGTTTACCAAGCAGAAAAAAGTAGAAATCCCTGCATAACAAATAAAGGTAGGATTGTTATTGATCCATTAGGCACCAGCTACTACTGCTATTAAGAAAGCTTGCTCTACAGAAGCTCATCTCAGTTCTTGAAAATTCTTCATACTTTTGGGCACTCCTCAGTCCTGGATCTCTGTTCTTCCCATGGAAACTTCCATAATGCTGTTAATTCTGTACCAACAAAGACAGGAGCTGAAATACTTTGGAAGTGCTCTATATTAAGACTATACTGTACAGGAACATCTTTTAACATGCCTCTGATGTGCTAGCACAAAATGAGCCTTTTGATATATAAACTAATGCAGCATTCAAGTTTTCATCACACTAACCTCAGTAATACAAGCAAACTCCTTTCCTGTTAAATGTCTTCCCTACATTATAATATTGTATATAACTTTATCCATGATCTAAAAATTGGTTAAAAAGTAAAATGTTTTAAGTAAGTTTCTCCAAAACACTGAAAGTTAAAAATAACTACAAGCCAGGATTTTTCTTCATAATTTTTAATACTTTTCACTTTTAAATACTGGTTTTAAATTTGTGATTGTAACATGGAAGAGCCAACTTCTTTTAATTTTTAAAACTTATCATTAGGATCATAAAGCTATTATAGAACAGTTACACTCTACACACTCAAGGTACTCAAAAATATGATTCATGTTTTAAGTCTGTAGATGAACAGTGGTAATTCAAATACAGCATTATCTGTACAACTTGACAAAAATACAGGTGGACAATCTGATTAAAGAGAATTTGCACAACTTCATATAAGCCAGCTCAGCCCAATTAAGTAAAAGGTAATTTTTTTTTTTCTTTCCAAAGTGCGTCACATTTTTCACAGATTAATTTGTCAAAGATGTTCAGGTTCTCGGACAGGATAACAACGACCATCTCATCCCCATTCTCAATACAAGTTCTGTCAAGTCATTTCCCTCAAATCTAGTTTGGCAACATCCAAATTCTCCAGACACAGATATTCAAAGAATGATATATGATGGAGAAGACTGCTACATTCTCAGCCCTTCAAATTGGTTCAGCTTACAAAAACATCCATTCTGGAGTCAGGAGCTGCTTCTGCAAAGACTACCACAGCTGTATAAATAATACCGATCCATTAACAGGAAGAAGTGAACTCAGAGTGCACAGATACATGGCAGTGACTGAAAAGAGGGATGGGCTCTCAAGAGACATGGCAAATTTTATAAAACCGTAAAAGCAAGATCCCTTCCACAAGAAAGGATCTAATGGCTGCTGTCATACAGACAATCTGAGAAGTCTATGGAGAACTGCCTTTTTTCCATTTGTTTTTAAAGAGGTCAATTAATACCATTTTTTTAATCTTACAACTCCTTCCATATTCTTTAAGAAGCCTCTTACAACTCTGATTGGGCAGGGCTAGCTGTAGTGAAGTACCAATGCCTTTATCTAAAAGTAAAATGTATTCTTTACAAATAGTATCTGTAGTGTAATTTTATTTACAGGATAAATTGCAAAAGTACATCACATTTAGTGCAAATGCAACTAATGATATAAGTTTATATACTGCTTTGTAAACTTTCCATACCTTTGTAAAATAAAGCTATCCAATTAAATTAATAAACTCACCTGTGTTCCAACAATTACCAGAAATGGCAAATAAGACGTCAAACTCTTTATATTTTTGATTACTTTTTTTTTTTTTAAAGTTCCCATCAGTGGCTATGGTGGAATGAACCATTGCTTGGTTGATTGTAAAAAGATGAAGTGCATTTGAGGTATAAGATTTTGTTGTTTTGTTGTTTGTTGTTTTTTTTTTTTAACATCGCTATATAAAATGCTCACTGGTGACACAGTAAACATGTACAAATTTTCATCTTATTTGCCTTACTAGCATTACCATATAGGCACTTTTCTACATATTCAAATTAACAGAATAACTCTGTAATAAGGCATATTCCATGCACACCATTAGAGAAAGGCAAATAAAAAGGGAAGACTAATGGAGCATGAAATCTGCATGCATGTGTAATCATGTGTTACATATGATTTCATCTCTGGAGAGAAGATGAACAGAAAGTTTTTCAACACTGTGCAGATCACATTTAATCATTTACCAAATCTTCATCAAGTTGCTATATTATATTTATTTTCAGGCACCTACCATACTATATCAAATAAGATTTTCAGCTTTCCCTTGAAAAAAAGAAAAAATATATCTGAAACATTTTTCTTGAG